GTTAATGGCTCCAAGTATAAACATTTGTAACTTACAAGTTTCACAAAATTGGCCAGTGTAGCAATTAGGACAGGAACATGTGTAATCAGTACAAGAACCAGAAACCTGGACACATGCAGCTCCATTCTGACACGTATTGTTGTTGCAAGCATTTAACACTGAAATTATATATCACTTTATCAATCAATCAACTGCTAGAAATGTCATTTTATCCAGAATAAAATTCTGCTCAGTGGCGCATTCAGAATATTTAACAGATCTTACAGTGCATGCATAAGATGATGATAATAGGAATTCAGATCGTACTGTTAATGGCTCCAAGTATAAACATTTGTAACTTACAAGTTTCACAAAATTGGCCAGTGTAGCAATTAGGACAGGAACATGTGTAATCTGTACAAGAACCAGAAACCTGGACACATGCAGCTCCATCCTGACACGTATTGTTGTTGCAAGCATTTAATACTGAAATTATATATCACTTCATCAATCAATCAATCAACTGCTATAAATGTCATTTTATCGAGAATAAAATTCTGCTCAGTGGTGCATTCAAAATATTAGACAGAACATCTTACAGTGCATGCATTAGATGATGATAATAGGAATACAGATCGTATAGTTAATGGCTCAAAGTATAAACATTTGTAACTTACAAGTTTCACAAAATTGCCCAGTGTAGCAATTAGGACAGGAACATGTGTAAGCTGTACAGGAACTAGAAACCCGGACACAAGCAGCTCCATTCTGACACGCATTGTTGGTGCAAGCATTTAACACTGAAAGTAAATATCACTTCATCAATCAATCAATCAATCAATCAATCAATTAATCAGTCAGTCAATCAGTCAGTCAGAGAGTCAACTGCTACAAATTATTGCATCATGTATCCAGAATAACATTTTGCTCAATAGGAATACAGATCTAAAAGTTAACAACTCAAACTATAAACATGTGTAACTTACAAGTTTCACAAAATTGCCCAGTATAGCAATTAGGACAGGAACATGTATAAGCTGTACAGGAACCAGAAACCTGGACACAAGCAGCTCCATTCTGACACGCATTGTTGTCGCAAGCATTTAACACTGAAATTATATCATGGCCGGCCAAAAATATAAAATGTCTGGAGATTTTTGTATGATCGGAAATGCAAGAAAAGAAGGAGAGAAGAAGGAGGAGGATGGAAAAGAGAATGTTTATTCAATACCCGACCGAGTTTCACATTGGCGAATCTGGGGAGGGGGGTCATGGGTCCTGACCCTCTCCCTTGAGCAACAAAAAAGGGGGAAGAAGAAAAGAATTCTAGACCTAACTTTTCAGTACCCGTGAGCTGATTTTTTATTTTATTTTATTTTTTTACAATTATAAAATTAGAATTTTGAAGAACATAAAAGTCATTAAAACACACTTCAAATGTCGGGAAAGCTCATTTCCCGCCATCTAGGAATCAAAATTTTCCCGGGGTAGAACCCCCGGACCACCTTTTTTGGGGGGGATTTATCGATTCATGGAAAAAAGAATACGCATGCAACTACTCATTTGTTTATGTATGTATACACACATAAAATAAAAAATGAGAAAAATTTACCTGACCTTTTTTCAAGAGGGAAAACCTTGGATTTTGAAGAACTTTAAAAGTCATTAAAAGACATATCAGAAGTCAGGAAAGCTCATTTCCCGCCATCTAAAAATCGAAATTTTCCCGGGGGAACCCGGACCCCTTTATCTTTGGAGTTCATTGATTAATTGAATCATATTCAAGAAGGAGGAGGCTGAAACCTTGAATTTTGAAGAATTTAAAAGTCATTAAAAGACACATCAGAAGTCGGGAAAGCTCATTTCCCGCCACCTAGGAATCAAAAATTTTCCCGGGGAAGAATTCCACGAGACCACCACCCCCACTCTTTCTTTTTGGGATTTATCGATTCATGGAAAAAAATACGTATGCAACTTACTCAATCTTTTTTTATGTATGTATACACACATAATGCCTATTTACTGTAATAACAATGGGAAAAATTATCTGACGGTTTTCAAGGGTGGAAAACCTTGAATTTTAAAGAACTTAATTACTTTTAAGTTCTTCAAAATTTAAGGTTTTCCCCTCTTGAAGATTATTATAATGAATCAATGAACCCAAAGAAAGGGAGGTTCGAGTTCTTCCCGGGAAAATGTTGATTTCTAAATGGTGTACAATGAGCTTTCCCGACTTCTGAAGTATCTTTTAATGACTTTAATTTAAAAGACACCTCAGAAATCAACATTTTCCCGGGAAGAACCTAAACCTCCCTTTTCTCTTTCCAGTGGGTTCATTGATTCATTATAACAATTTTCAAAGGAGCAAACCTTGAATTTTGAAGAACTTAAAAGTAATTAAAAAGACACCTCAGAAGTCGGGAAAACTCTTTCTTTTTGGGATTCATCGATTTATGGAAAATTCGTATGCAACTACTCATTTTTTTAATGTATGTATACACACATAAGGCCTATTTACTGTAATAACAATATAGAAAAATTACCTGACCGTTTTCAAGAGGGGAAAACCTTGAATTTTGAAGAACTTAAAAGTAATTAGGACACTTCAGAAGTCGGAAAAGCTCATTTCCTGCCATCTAGGAATCAAATTTTTCCCGGGGCAGATCCACAGGACCCCCTTTCTTTGGAGCTTATCGATTCATTGAAAAAAGAATATGATATACAACTACTCATTTTTTTTAAATGTATGTATACACACATAACAGGCCTATTTACTGTAATAACAATGGGAAAAAATTACCTGACCGTTTTCAAGAGAGGGAAAAACCTTGAATTTTGAAGAACTTAAAAGTAATTAAAAGACACCTCAGAAGTCGGGAAAGCTCATTTCCCGCCTTCTAGGAATCAAAATTTTCCTGGGGAGAACTCCGGGATTCCCTTTTCTCTTTGGGATTTATCGATTCATAGAAAAAAAAACCGTATGCATCTACTCATTTTTTGGTGTATGTATACACACATAACAGGCCTATTTACTGTAATGAGAAAGTTTACCTTACCGTTTTCAAGAGGGGGAAAACCTTGAATTTCTAAGAACAAAGTCATTAGACACCTAGCCCAAAAGTCGAGAAAGGTCATTTCCCGCCATCTAGAAATCAAAATTTTCCCGGGGGAGGAATGTTGACCCCACCACCTAGATTTGATTTCAGATCTGCATGATCCACATTCCCATTCATCTTATAAGTGGGCACCCCCCCCCCCCCCGCAACTTTGAAAAAGGTTCCGCCGGCCCTGTATATATCACTTCATCAATCAATCAATCAATCAACAGCTAGAAACGTCATTTTATCCAGAATAAAATTCTGCTTAGTGGCGCATTCGGAAGATTCAACAGAACATCTTACAGTGCATGCATTAGATGATGATAATAGGAATACAGATCGTATAGTTAATGGCTCCAAGTATAAACATTTGTAACTTACAAGGTTCACAAAATTGCCCAGTGTAGCAATTAGGACAGGTACATGTGTAAGCTGTACAGGAACCAGAAACCTGAACACAAGCAGCTCCATTCTGACACGCATGGTTGCTGCAAGCATTTAACACTGAAATTAAATATAACTTCATTAATCAATCAATCAATCACTCAGTGCATGCATTAGATTATGATAATAGGAATAGTGATCGTATAGTTAATGGCTCAAACTATAAATAATTGTTACTTACAAGTTTCACAAAATTGCCCAGTGTAGCAAGAAGGACAGGTACATGTGTAAGCTGTACAGGAACCAGAAACCCGGACACAAGCAGCTCCATTCATACACGCATGGTTGTTGCAAGCATTTAACACTGAAATTATACATCACTTCATTAATCAATCAATCAATCACTCAGTGCATGCATTAGATTATGATAATAGGAATAGTGATCGTATAGTTAATGGCTCAAACTATAAACATGTGTAACTTACAAGTTTCACAAAATTGCCCAGTGTAGCAAGAAGGACAGGTACATGTGTAAGCTGTACAGGAACCAGAAACCTGAACACAAGCAGCTCCATTCTGACACGCATGGTTGTTGCAAGCATTTAACACTGAAATTATATATCACTTCATCAATCAATCAATCAATCAATTAATCAATCAATCAATCAATCAATCAATCAACTGCTAGAAATATAATTTTATCCAGAATAAAATTCTACTCAGTGGCACATTCAGAACATTAAACATAACATCTTACAGTGCATGCATTAGATGATGATAATAGGAATACAGATCGTATAGTTAATCAGGAACCACCAACCTGAACACAAGCAGCTCCATTCTGACAGGCATTGTTGTTGCAAGCATTTAACACTGAAATTTTATATTACTTCATCAATCAATCAATCAATCAATCAATCAATCAATTAATCAATCAATCAATCAACTGCTAGAAATGTCATTTTATCCAGAATAAAATTCTGCTCAGTGGCGCATTCGGAATATTCAACAGAACATCTTACAGTGCATGCATTAGATGATGATAATAGGAATACAGATCGGATAGTTAATAGCTCCAAGTATAAACATTTGTAACTTACAAGTTTCACAAAATTGTCCAGTGTAGCAATTAGGACAGGAACATGTGTAAGCTGTACAGGAACCAGCAACTTGGATACAAGCAGCTCCATTCTGACACGCATTGTTGGTGCAAGCATTTAACACTGAAAGTCGATATCGCTTCTTCAATCAATCAATCAATCAATCAATCAATCAATCAATCAATCAATCAATCAATCAATCAATCAATCAATCAATCAAATAATCATTTATTTAGTCAATCAGTCAACTATTCAATTAATTAATCAATCAATCAATCAATCAATCAATTAATCAGTCAGTCAGTCAGACAGCCAAATGCTACAAATGTTATTGCACCATGTCCAGAATAACATTCTGCTCAATGGCGCATTCAGAATATTCAACAGAGCAACTTACAGTGCATTTTTTGGATAATCATAATAGGAATACAGATTGTATAAGTTAACAACTCAAACTATAAACATGTGTAAATTACAAGTTTCACAGAATTGCCCAGTGTAACAATTGGGACAGGAACATGTGTAAGCTGTACAGGAACCAGAAACCTGGACACACGCACCTCCATTCTGACACGCATGGTTGTTGCAAGCATTTAACACTGAAATTAAATATCACTTCATCAATCAATCAATCAATCAATCAATCAATCAAATCAATCAGTCAGTTAGTCAGTCAACTTCTACAGATGTTCTTGCATCATATCTCCAGAATAAGATTCTGCTCAATGGCGCATTCAGAAGATTCAACAGAACATCTTACAGTGCATGCATTAAATGATGATAATAGGAATACAGATTGTATTGCCCAGTGTAGCAATTAGGACAGGAACATGTATAAGCTGTACAGGAACCAGAAACCTGGATACAAGCAGCTCCATTCTGACATGCATTGTTGGTGCAAGCATTTAACACTGAAAGTCGATATCACTTCTTCAATCAATTAATCAATCAATCAATCAATCAATCAATTGATCATATATTTAGTCAATCAGTCAACTATTCAATTAATTAATTAATCAATCAATCAATCAATTAATTAGTCAGTCAGACAGCCAACTGCTACAAATGTTTTGTACCATGTCCAGAATAACATTCTGCTCAATGGCGCATTCAGAATATTCAACAGAACAACTTACAGTGCATTTATTGGATGTTCATAATAGGAATACAGATTGTATAAGTTAACAACCCGAACTATAAATATGTGTAACTTACAAGTTTCACAAAATTGCCCAGTGTAGCAATTAGGACAGGAACACATGTAAGTTGTACAGGAACCAGAAACCTGGACACAAGCGGCTCCGTTCTGACACGCATGGTTGTTGCAAGCATTTAACACTGAAATTAAATATCACTTCATCAATCAATCAATCAATTTATCTGTCTATCAATTAATCAAATCAATCAGTCAGTCAGTCAGTTAGTCAGTCAACTTCTACAGATGTTATTGCATCATATCTCCAGAATAAGATTCTGCTCAATGGCGCATTCAGATGATTCAACAGAACATCTTACAGTGCATGCATTAGATGATGATAATAGGAATACAGATTGTATAGTTAATGGCTCAAAGTATAAACATGTGTAACTTACAAGTTTCACAAAATTGCCCAGTGTAGCAATTAGGACAGGAACATGTGTAAGCTGTACAGGAACCAGAAACCTGGACACACGCACCTCCATTCTGACACGCATTGTTGTTGCAAGCATTTAACACTGAAATTAAATATCATCAATCAATCAATCAATCAATCAACTGCTGGAAATGTCATTTTATCCAGAATAAGATTCTGCTCAGTGGCGCATTCAGAATATTCGACAGAACATCTTACAGTGCATGCATTAGGTGATCATAACAGGAATACAGATCGTATATGCCATGGAGTGAAAATCCAATCATTAAACCCTGTTCCGAAATATACTCGAACTCCTCGTGATAATTATTTTAAAGCTCGACCGTAAGAACTTCTGTAAACACAAGAAAATGACTCAAAACTATAAACATTTTGAACTTTACAAGTTTCAGAATTCAAACTATAAACATGTGTAACTTACAAGTTTCACAAAATTGCCCAGTGTAGCAATCAGGACAGGAACATGTGTAAGTTGTACAGGAACCAGAAACCTGGACACAAGCGGCTCTGTTCTGACACGCATGGTTGTTGCAAGCATTTAACACTGAAATTAAATATCACTTCATCAATCAATCAATCTATCTATCTATCTATCTATCAATCAATCAAATCAATCAGTCAGTCAGTCAGTTAGTCAGTCAACTTCTACAGATGTTATTGCATCATATCTCCAGAATAAGATTCTGCTCAATGGCACATTCAGAAGATTCATTAGAACATCTTACAGTGCATGCATTAGATGATGATAATAGGAATACAGATTGTATAGTTAATGGCTCAAAGTATAAACATGTGTAACTTACAAGTTTCACAAAATTGCCCAGTGTAGCAATCAGGACAGGAACAGGTGTAAGTTGTACAGGAACCAGAAACCTGGACACAAGCAGCTCCATTCTGACATGCATTGTTGGTGCAAGAATTTAACACTGAAATTATATATCACTTCATCAATTAATCAATCAATCAATCAATCAATCAATCAATCAATCAACTGCTGGAAATGTTATTGAGTAATAATTATGTCCAGAATAAAATTTTCCTCATAAGCGTATTCAGGACTTTTGCAAAACAATTTCCAGTGCATGCATTATATGATCATAATTATACGATCAGATGCATTGTAATTTTTGTAATTTACAGGTTTCACAAAATTGGCCAGTGAAGCAAATAGAAGAGGAACATGTGTAAGCTGTAGAGGAATCTTAAACCTGAGAACAGCCAGCTTCATTCTGACATGAATGTTTCACAGGCATTTGATACTGAATTTTCCAAATAAAAGGAAATATCAATTGCAAAACAAGGAAGTCTTGGGCTGTAGGCCTAAGAGACTTGGTGGAGGGCCAGGGGGGGGGGCGCCCAGGGCCCCGATGGGGATCCAGGGGTGGAGGCTCCTGGAAACTATGGTGTCCATAGCCTTTTATAAGTCGTATATTTAATTAATCTTAAGGAATGCAATAACAATTTATTTCCACACTACATTTTCAAAATACAGTGGGGGTCCAGGAAATCCAAGAGGGGGAGCAAGGGATGGAATTTTACAGATGGAGTGTAGAAAATTTATGTTTATCGTACCTCTAGTTGACCGGAAATTGCACTTTCAGACTCAAATTTGAATATAACATTCTTTTTTCTCCACTTTTAATTAAAAAAAAAATAGGGAGGGTGGGTCGGCTGGTCCCCCTTGAACCTGTCACAGAAATATTCATCATAATTTTTTTTTTCAATTTATCCTGGTAATCATAATCATTCCCGCTTACATATTTTGTGCAAACTAACATTCATAAAAATAGTGATTATCTTGTGATGTATTTGAACCATGAAAAACAAATGATAAACCATGTTCCTTCATGGATAGAATTAAAACAGTCACTCCAATTCTATCTTTGCATGTACGGTACTTTTAAAATCAATCATTGAAGATGTTTTTCCTTTTCTCCTCTTTTTGAATTTCAGTTTTGTGCGAGTAGCATTGCGACTACACTAATTGTGAGTGGAAATACTACCGTCTAACTTAAGATCAAACAGGACTATTAGGAGATAGGAAGCACACACAATATTAGCATTTTTATTTCATTAACATACAGGGTGATTTAATTAATTTATCATTATCATGACATGGGCGGATCCAGAAATTATTGACTTTTCCGACCTTTCCTCACGGGCGTCCCGAATGACTAATTATGGACCAATAGTCTATTTTATACTGGGAGTCGCAAAGCAAACTTATGATTATGGCACCTCTAGATGCCCGGAAATGGCATTCATTCAGAGTTATTCAGATTTTATCTCAATTTTTTTTTAAATTTTAACAAATTTAGTGGGTCCTGGTCGGCTGGGCACCCCATCCCCACTTGATTAATATGATATATATTTCCTACAGTCAACGTCATAGACATATATCGCTGTTATGTATAAACTAAGTCCTTTTAGATCTGTTTAGATAAGGGTGTTACAGAGCGAGGATGTGCAGGGTCACTGCAGGGACCTACAGGTCGATGGCCCTGCAGACCGCCGCAAGAAAGCACATACGCGTTACGCCACTGAGCATAGACTATAGCTGTTCTAGCAGGGTAAACTACATTCCGGTAATGCGGGTAAAAAACCCCGTCAAGGTCTCAGTCTTTTGGCCTTTTTTTACATCCTGATTTGTGAAATTGTTGGAAAGAATCGGCATTGGGGATACAGTGTAACGTCGTTGTGTTCGCCGTCAATCAATAGTAAATTCAAAATTTAATATGTGAGTGGTAAAATAATCGAGTTCTCCTTTCGCCCAGTGACCGCCACTGAGCTCATGGGTACACTTCGTTTTTTTTCTCTCTCTCTTTTCTCTTTCTTTTTTTTTCTCCTTTTTTTTATTTTTTGGCGGGATTGACGGGAGGGGGAAACGTCGGCATGATGTCATGGCGAGATTGTTTCAAGTAACATCGGAGTTCGTAAACTTCTGGTATCACTACTTAAATAAGTCGAAATAGACAGACCTATCCTTGAGTATAATATAAGGCTGTATAATTATTGTTTATAAAATATATATATATATATTTTTAATATATATAAAATTCAATTTAATAACTATACTTTATATTCGAAATTTGAAAAAACAGGAATTTATGTATGCAGATAATATTCAACACTAGTATAATATACAGGCCTAAATAATAATATACAAAAGAAATAAGTCGTTTATAATAAAAATTGTGAACTTTGAGTTCGTAAAAATGTTGGCATAATAGGTTTACACGCTTTCTATTTTAACAACGTACAGTACATTGTTTTCAGAATAAATTTGGCTTCTGATAACCGGTGCATCCATAAAGTAGATGGAGTGGTAACTGAGATGGTTACGAAATGTACAAACAATTGCTTTTTTTACTCATTATTGGTACGGAAATACGCACCGCACTTGGAACAGAGCACAAGTGATTGGACAATATTCATGAGTCATTCGTAATTGCTGTTCTTTCCACACGTTTCGAAAAGTGGGGTTTTAGAAGACTGGTGAAAAGTGGGGGGGGGGGAACGGGGAACAAATCATATGATGTCCCTCCCTCCTTTGAAAAGTCGGGGACGTGTCCTTCCTGTCCCCCACCCATCGACGCCCACGTCTGGCCTGGTTCAGACTAGGTGGATAAACCCGGCTCAACTCACCGGGTGTATCCACCTGCCAGTCTGAACTAGGTGGCTTATATCTAGCCGGGCTGTGTTTCTAATTAGGCCCAGCATGCCACCGTGTTTAACTTTTTCTAAGCCGGGCCTTAACCGCTGCTGGGGGTGGGGGAGTCTTGAGTTGACTTTGGGTAACAAAATGACCAATCAGCATTCAATTACATGTGCTGTCGTGAGCGAGCGTACGTTTCACGAGCAATGTTTCGCAACACGTTTCCTGGTTACGGTTCATTAATGTGCAAATTGTCGCGCCTGGCTAATCCCGCTAGTCTGAACGCCCGGCAAAGTTAAGCCGGGCTTAACGTAAGCCTGGCTTATCTCTAAGTCTGAACGTAGCCTGAAAGTAGCTAAGTTACAAGCCATCATAGGCAGAACAACTCGATTACAACTTGTAACGGATACACACAAACACTAACACCTTAACCCTTTCTCTCAATGTGAGGGCTAATCGAGTAGCTGAGAAACAAGACCCCAATTAAAAAACGACGCTAGCCGGGTTTGAATGAGGGTCTGACAGGGACGGATCCAGAGATGTCCAAAAGAGGGGGCCGAAATTTGGGCCGATCGAGACAACACTGAAATAGGAGGTCCGGGGCATGCCCCTGCAAAATTTCTGTGTTTTGGGCGCCCAAAAATAACATCTTAGGCGTTCTGGGCTATCGTTTTTTCTTTTCTTTTTTTTTCTCCTTTTTTTTTACCTCTCAAAATGGGGGGGGGGGGAGGCGGGCCGCCCCACCCCCCAAATCCGCCCCTGCTGCACCACAAAAAGCAGGAAATTTCCTCTCAACCGAACTCTGGGTAATTTTAAATTTCACACTAAGCTCCTTTATACTAAATAAAATCTAGAAGGAGGCAGCTAAGCTAATGTTAAAACGCAACTTACAGATTTCGCAGTTGTCACCAGTATAGCAGTCTGGGCAGGTTCCATTGTTACTCACATCGAAAACTTTTATAGCAAAAGACAAAAATGAGAAATTTATTACTAAAAAAAAGGTAAAATATTTATATACATACCATCTTTGCAGCGATGTTTAGCACTTATTTTGCTACTCTGCCATCTCTTGTTATACCGCCGTAACAATGTACAACCACACTACATTTCCCATTGCTTCTCTTACATGATCGACCCACTATTTTTTTACGGTCGCATTGTTCCCCAAATTTACACTAGTAAGCATGTAGACTACATGCTTCATTATACATTGCCACACTTTTAGTGTGGGTGTTTTACAGCATCCAAAATTCAGGTCTTACTGAACAAATAGATGCAAAATAAATATCTGTGGTCATTTTGTTGTTATATTTCCCTATTAAAATGGTAGGTTTTTTATAAATATTTTTTGGCTTTTTCTGCTTTACTGATTAACATAGCACATACACTTTACTGTGTTTAGTTTTGTGTGTACGCGAACAGACACAAACAATTAATGCTGATAATTAGGAAACAGTATAAATTGAACATTTTAATTGTTAATGCTTATCTGTAATCTTATGCCAAAAAAATTTTTAAGAAATTCTGATAATAAAATTTACGGTTTTATGGAATAAACTCCCGGATCATACTAAAACCAACTTTAAATCTATGACACTTTAAAATTTAAGCATTCTATTTCAAATCCTCAATAATACCATCTTATTTTTACCTGATTTTCTCTTACCTTGCACGTCCATATTTATTATTAAAATGTTTTATCTTCTTAAGTTTCTTTCTATGTTCCTTTTAAATCCATCTGTAGTTAAGTTATCAATCTTTTTTGGTTCCAATGTGTATATGTCTGCTTTTAAAATTTTTGTAGTTAAGAACTGAACCACTTTGGAAACCAGTACTATGTATTGAAAGTGTATATTCAGTATAAAGAAAGAATAAATAAATAAATAAAACAGGCTATATTTGTAGAAATTGAAGTTTGTGTTTTTTTTTTTTGTGGTGTCGGTGACGAAGTGAGGTCGTGAATTACTGCTATAGTTTTACGACACAGCTTCCGTTTGATTCTGAAATATATATTAACATTTTCGACGATAATGTAATATATTCAGATTTATACAGCGTTTTACACCTACAGTAAGTCACAAAGCACTCAGGGGGTGGACTCGCTCATACTGTAACTTCCACCTCCCCTGTCATTTAACATTTGGTGTTCTATTTTTTTCTCTATTAGAGGTGGGTGTTATGAATTAAAAGGGAACTAGAAAGATGTTTTTTTTTAACTAGAGGAGATTTTTCATATGCATTAATAATAGTGTCAATTTTTAATTAGATCTACATCCCTGGGCCTGTCACACGGTTTACAATATAAATTCGCACTGGTCTGGTATATAAATACCAGACATATTCAAATAAGCTGAGCGTACTCTGATGTACTTACTGATTATGGATAGGACTTGATATGCATATCAGCGGTTGTCAACAAAAGATTTACAGCCATGGTTACAGTACGCAGAAATGGTACGCGGTGAATACCCTACGTGGCGTTATTTGTAAGATCTTTGTTAACATCACACCGCCAAAGGGGTAAAATCGTACATACTGGCCTATAAAAAAATTGCTAAAAAGTTACTCTATTAATAATGACCTATCAAAAATCCCCTTTAGAAAAAAAAATCATCTTTCTAGTTCCTTTTTAAACTGAATACACAGCGCTATAGTTCCATTACCAAAACAGTGGTTTAGTAAACACTATGTTGCTATTGGTATATTTTACAGTGAAAATGCTGAATAAATTTAAAGAAATTTATTTGAGAGAATATCGTAAAGTAGCGGAAATTCTTCATTGTATACCTTCGCAATTAACTCCTAAAAAGCCGTCAGTGCAACGACAAACATACTCTCCCACATTTGATGAACTTATGAAACAGATTCCTCCATTAAGACATGGGTTTAGTGAACATTGACTGGCAACTGCAATAAATAAAACAATTATAAAGGCTATTATCAACATCTCTTTAAATAATGAATTACAAGAAAAGAGTGAAAATCGTTTTTTCTTTAATTTCAGATACTAGTTCTTTATGGGAAAGGAATTTGTTATGTATCTATATTTAAAATAAAATCATGGAATGATATTTTAATAATTGTGCATTGCCATGATAAAACATTCAGAAGCAAGATCGTTTGGCATAACAGTTTCAATTATTGTTTTTAACCAGTTTAAGCTAGCGCTTCTCAAAATGTGGATGGCGACCCAAAAATAGGCCCCCAAAAATGTTCAGTAAGTACCATAATGGTTACACCCAAACAAAATTCCGTTCTTTGGACAATAAATAATTTTGAATCTTGAATCTTGAATATAGGAAGCATTGCAGCTTCAGCAAATAAATTTGTATATTACACCCGAATGAACATCATCGTGATGAGGATACTTTAAACTAAAAACAGAAATTGAATTTTAAATGATGTTAAAATTAACTTAATATCGAAATCAATACAAAACTCTTTAAGAAATTTTTGACTAATAATCTTGCTAAATGGTCCACTATATGGTGAATTAAACCAGGTCCGCTCGTTAAAGTGATGTCACCTCTATTCAGCGTTCAACGCTTCGTGTATGAACCTTTCAGACGAGGCATTTTGTTGACACCTAAAACATGTTTAAATCACGGAGGAATTATCCTCTATGCTTACATACAGTACACAGTGTCGTATATATTATTATATTGGGTTTTTCGGCAAGGGTTCACAATAAATAAATAAATAATAAATAAAGTAAAATGTCTTAAAATTGAAAATAAAATGAATAAAAATTAAATACCAAGATGCGATTTCAACTCATAACCTTTGATTTTCTTATTCCCTTCGAACACAACACTAAGCTACCGAGCCATCCATGTCGATATGTTAATGGCAGTAATACAGTCGTTGCTGAAACCCTTGTTTTGTTTTGTAGGTGTAGGGGGAATCCTGGGGTAAAAAATGGGCCATGAAAGTTTGTTGGAAATAACCTCTAGTTTATGTGTACAACATTTCCTACACGTCCGTTCAAAACTGGTGACGCTGGACGCTTTTACATTTCTGGCAACAGCAAAAACAACAACAAGAACAACAGTGAGTTGCTGGGGTCCGCCTTGAGCGGACCCAAAAAGTGAATGTTGGGGTTAGCATCATTATTTTATTTATTCCGTTTAATGCTCTACACCTAAGTCTCAAAGTGCTCAAAGCGTAGAGTAACTTTCATCTCCCCTAAGGTCTTTAACATTTTAGTGTTCTATATTTTCCTCTAATAGTGGTTTTCTTAGAAATACAATTATTAATTTTTATAGATTAAAATGCTTAGAACGGCAGAACTTCGATGAGTATTTGATCAATGCAATAAACTCACCATCACCATGACAAATGTTAATAAAAATTAAACACTATGTTGCAATTGGTAAATTTTACAGTGAAAAAAATAGCAGAAATTCTTCATTGTATACCTTCACAATGAGTTCCTAAAAAGCCGTCAGTACAAAGACACCCATTTAGTGTGGGTGTTTTACAGCATCCAAAATTCAGGTCTTACTGAACAAATAGATGCAAAATAAATATCTGTGGTAATTTTGTTGTTATATTTCCCTATTGAAATGGTAGGTTTTTTATAAATATTTTTTGGCTTTTTCTGCTTTACTGATTAACATAGCACATACACTTTACTGTGTTTAGTTTTGTGTGTACGCGAACAGACACAAACAATTAATGCTGATAATTAGGAAACAGTATAAATTGAATATTTTAATTGTTAATGTTTATCTGTAATCTTATGCCAAAAAAAAAAATAAATAAAAATTTAAGTAATTCTGATAATGAAATTTACGGTTTTATAGAATAAACTCCCGGATCATACTAAAACCAACTTTAAATCTATGACACTTTAAAATTTAAGCATTCTATTTCAAATCCTCAATAATACCATCTTATTTTTACCTGATTTTCTCTTACCTTGCATGTCCATATTTATTATTAAAATGTTTAATCTTCTTAAGTTTCTTTCTATGTTCCTTTTAAATCCATCTGTAGTTAAGTTATCAATCTTTTTTGGTTCCAATGTGTATATGTCTGCTTTTAAAATTTTTGTAGTTAAGAACTGAACCACTTTGGAAACCAGTACTATGTATTGAAAGTGTATATTCAGTATAAAGAAAGAATAAATAAATAAATAAAACATGCTATATTTGTAGAAATTGAAGTTTGTGTTTTTTTTTGTGGTGTCGGTGACGAAGTGAGGTCGTGATTTACTGCTATAGTTTTATGACACAGCTTCCGTTTGATTCTGAAATATATATTAACATTTTCGACGATAATGTAATATATTCAGATTTATACAGCGTTTTACACCTACAGTAAGTCACAAAGCACTCAGGGGGTGGACTCGCTCATACTGTAACTTCCACCTCCCCTGTCATTTAACATTTGGTGTTCTATTTTTTTCTCTATTAGAGGTGGGTGTTATGAATTAAAAGGGAACTAGAAAGATGTCTTTTTTTTTACTAGAGGAGATTTTTCATATGCATTAATAATAGTGTCAATTTTTAATTAGACCTACATCCTTGGGCCTGTCACACGGTTTACAATATAAATTCGCACTGGTCTGGTATATAAATACCAGACATATTCAAATAAGCTGAGCTCCTGTCTCTTATACACATCTAGATGTGTATAAGAGACAGGGGATACAGTGTAACGTCGTTGTGTTCGCCGTCAATCAATAGTAAATTCAAAATTTAATATGTGAGTGGTAAAATAATCGAGTTCTCCTTTCGCCCAGTGACCGCCACTGAGCTCATGGGTACACTTCGTTTTTTTTTCTCTCTCTCTTTTCTCTTTCTTTTTTTTTTTCTCCTTTTTTTAAATTTTTTTGGTGGGTTTAAATTTAAAGAAATTTATTTGGGAGAATATCGTAAAGCAGCGGAAATTCTTCATTGTATACCTTCGCAATTAACTCCTAAAAAGCCGTCAGTGCAAAGACAAACATACTCTCCCACATTTGATGAACTTATGAAACAGATTCCTCCATTAAGACATGGGTTTAGTGAACATTGACTGGCAACTGCAATAAATAAAACAATTATAAAGGCTATTATCAACATCTCTTTAAATAATGAATTACAAGAAAAGAGTGAAAATCGTTTTTTCTTTAATTTCAGATACTAGTTCTTGATGGGAAAGGAATTTGTTATGTATCTATATTTAAAATAAAATCATGGAATGATATTTTAATAATTGTGCATTGCCATGATAAAACATTCAGAAGCAAGATCGTTTGGCATAACAGTTTCAATTATTGTTTTTAACCAGTTTAAGCTAGCGCTTCTCAAAATGTGGATGGCGACCCAAAAATAGGCCCCCAAAAATGTTCAGTAAGTACCATAATGGTTACACCCAAACAAAATTCCGTTCTTTGGACAATAAATAATTTTGAATCTTGAATCTTGAATATAGGAAGCATTGCAGCTTCAGAAAATAAATTTGTATATTACACCCGAATGAACATCATCGTGATGAGGATACTTTAAACTGAAAACAGAAATTGAATTTTAAATGATGTTAAAATTAACTTAATATCGAAATCAATACAAAACTCTTTAAGAAATTTTTGACTAATAATCTTGCTAAATGGTCCACTATATGGTAAATTACACCAGGTCAGCTCGTTAAAGTGATGTCACCTCTATTCAGCGTTCAACGCTTCGTGTATGAACCTTTCAGACGAGGCATTTTGTTGACACGTAAACATGATTAAATCTCGGAGGAATTATCCTCTATGCTTACATACAGTACACAGTGTCGTATATTATTATATTGGGTTTTCGGCAAGGGTTCACAATAAATAAATAAATAATAAATAAAGTAAAATGTCTTAAAATTGAAAATAAAATGAATAAAAATTAAATACCAAGATGCGATTTCAACTCACAACTTTTGATTTTCTTATTCCCTTCGAACACAACACTAAGCTACCGAGCCATCCATGTCGACATGGTAATGGCAGTAATACAGTCGTTGCTGAAACCCTTGTTTTGTTTTGTAGCTGTAGGGGGAATCCTGGGGTAAAAAATGGGCCATGAAAGTTTGTTGGAAATAACCTCTAGTTTATGTGTACAACATTTCCTACACGTCCGTTCAAAACTGGTGACGCTGGACGCTTTTACATTTCTGGCAACAGCAAAAACAACAACAAGAACAACAGTGAGGCGCTGGGGTCCGTCTTGAGCGGACCCAAAAAGTGAATGATGGGGTTAGGATCATTATTTTATTTATTCCGTTTAATGCTCTACACCTAAGTCTCAAAGTGCTCAAAGCGTAGAGTAACTTTCATCTCCCCTAAGGTCTTTAACATTTTAGTGTTCTATATTTTCCTCTAATAGTGGTTTTCTTAGAAATACAATTATTAATTTTTATAGATTAAAATGCTTGGAACGGCAGAACTTCGATGAGTATTTGATCAATGCAATAAACTCACCATCACCATGACAAATGTTAATAAAAATTAAACACTATGTTGCAATTGGTAAATTTTACAGTGAAAAAAAATAGCAGAAATTCTTCATTGTATACCTTCACAATGAGTTCCTAAAAAGCCGTCAGTACAAAGACAAACATACTCTCCAGGATTTTCATAACTTCTGTAACAAGTCCCACCGTTAAAACATGGGTTTGTTGAACATGGATTAACAACTGCAATAAAAATAATGCAAACGTTTAACACTTTATAGAGGTTATTATAAGGTTTATCTCATGGAAATTATGAAATAAAGAAAAAAAAAGTGATAGCTCATTTTCATTTAATTTCAAATACCTGTACTGTACTTGATCAGAAAAGAATTTGTATTATATTTAAAAACATGGAAGGATATTCTAATAATTGATTGACCTTTGACACAAAATTTAGAAGCGGTATCGTCTGGCGTAGCAGTTTCTATATACAGGTTGTTGACCTTGTGTTTACTAGTTTAAACCAGCACTTTCCAAAATGTTCAAGTTCTAGTTCATTTTTGGTCATATACAGTATTGAATACAATACATGAAATTAGATTTACCGGTACACTAATATACTAAAATATAAGATATAATTAAGATATTGCACAGAATAACACACACTGAGAATATAAAAATTTAAATAGAGCAAACAAATAAAATTATCAAAGAAATCAATCGTCTAACATCTTTGCACTAGGAATGAATGAGTTGTGTGTCTATTTGTTTTTATGTCAATGAAGTAACAGTTCTACCGAGTTGCTAAAACTGATATAATTTTGAAGTGGGTGGTTATTATCATTAATTATATTATACATTTTCATCTTTTGTTTTCCCACTCTATGCATATACTGTATCCACTTTCTTTGGCTAGATGACAATTTGCACGTCCGCAAAAGCTAAGGAATCGTTCTCTCTTTTCATAAAAAATGGAAGTCACTCAAGTCACGTTGCAAACCTGGCTACGAACAGTGTTGAGAAGTAGGTCAGCGTTGTAGTCTTTGCGGACGCGACTTGAAGCATTAAGAATATTAAAAATATTAAAAATCATAATTGTTTTGCTTATTTTCACGGTATTTCATCCAAATACAAGTTCACCTCATTAATAATGATCGGCTTTTAGTTTTTGACAAAGGTAATACATATGCACTGTACAATAAAGTCAATACAATGAGAGTGGATCTTAATGTACCGACGAAGCGAAAATTTTCGCTTAAACAAGAATTTAGGTTTAGAGCCAAAATTTGGAATGGAACCTGAATTTTTGTGACACCGGCTTCATGGTTTATAATTTACAAAATGTTATTAGAGTAAACCTATGCATTATTATTGAAAACGAATGAGTTTACAAATGGATACTAAAATATGTAACCATAATTAATTAAAATGATACAATGACTCACCTTGTGAGGAAGCAGAACTTACAAGAAGCATCACAATCATCACATACCAAAAATTCATTTTGTATAGATCAAAACCGATTTTCTTAGCAACTCAATAACTGAAAAAATCGATAATATAAAGGTAAATAAATGTATGTTGTTGAAATTAATATACGATACCATTGTAATAATAATAGGTACCAGTACAACACATTTTTGTACATGGTAACTATAACATATATAAAATATGCATGTGTTGATATGGTTAAAATAGGTTCACTGAACTTCAAGTCTTGAAATGCCTTGGGTATGATACCATATTTAATACAAATATTTAAGGTATTGAAATCATAAGTGAGGTAAATAGTCTTAATTTCTATATTATTGTTACCTGATACATTTGATATATTTTTGTTTAATATTTTAATAGATTTTTCGAGTAAGCAATAAATAACACCTAGGATAATGTTTTAAGCTCGGATGATATTTCAGTAAATAACGATTCAGATTAATTTGAAATAAACCTCTGAAAGATCATTTCAATCGGAGTGATGAAATTGTTCATTTAAATAAATTGCGACTCCAACACCCGATCTTGTTGACTTTGAGAAGTGAAGCATATTATATCTGGCAATGTTGTAGAACGAAAACATTAGTTTGGAATTTTTTTTTAAGCGTTTCTGAAAAAACACTGTGCTGAAATTTATGGTTAATACTACTAATTAAATCAGTGACTTGGTCAAAATATTAAACTAAAATTAAATGATGATTTGAAAGACGAATCTTTCATACCGCATTTATAATTGCAGGGTGTCAACAAATTCAGAGTCATTATAATTAGGCGAATATAGACATCATTATCTTTGAGGTCATCTAGATTGAGGTTAAATGCATAAAAAATGAGGAATTACAATTTATGAAAATCGATAAATAGTAATATAGGATAAATGAAAATATCATATCTAAAGGAAAATGAACAGTTTAATGGTAATAAGTTAAGGCTAACCAGAAAGGTTGTAGTCAGTATGTTTCGGATATGCAATTACTCAAATAACTAACAATAATACGTATAATAAAGAATACGTAGGCATAATTGGCTTAACGGGAGAAAATAGCCATAGTATTCATCAATATAAACCATATCTGATACAATACTATTAATGTTCGCATTATTTTTATTGTTTGAAGTGAAAGAAGGTTCCGTTGGAGGACCTCCGTTTACCAGCCTGCTACGAAACGTAGTTTGGTTACTCCCTATTTCTATTAATTTTTTTCTTCTACATCTGTTGACGTTAGATCATCAATTTACTTAATTTTAATGATATAATAGTTCTCTTCCTTAACTTGAGAACGTTGTTTCATTGGTTCGAATTTGGTGTTAAAGAAAGGAACGGGACTAAAATATGTCTTGGCCTTCCGTCAACACCACTTCCATCACGGTGGGCGCGTTTTGTTACAGGTGGTGTACTAGTAGACCATATAAAATTTTGAAGAATGTTGTGAACGAATAATTTACAGTTATCATTTTGACATGGCTTACTCCTACGATACAAATATTATTGCACCTACAAAATATTTCAGTTTATTCATGTCAATTTGCAACGTATTTAGGCACATTTCCATAAACTTTACAGTTTCTTGTAGTTTATCACTGGTCCGTTTATTCAACTAATCTTTCCAGTTCGTTTATTTGAGCTGAGTTGAATAGGTCTACGATTGACTCTAACATCCTCTTAGCCCTTGATGCGAGATTATACATTATAGATTACAAATTCTCTAAACGATTGGGTGTCGTCTAACTCCTCAGATACACTTTTAGCGTCACTGGTGTTAGGGTGCCCAGACAGCTTGTTCTTCTCCCTGGTAGTCGACATTAAAGTATGCATTTGCGTGCAGGTTACGATTAATGAATACTTAACCAGGGGCTCAGGATTAATGTGTCTCCCTGCTATTATGATTAAATTCATCATTTTCAATTCCATTTGTACCCATTCTCTTTCTCTTTACCAGCCTGCTACGAAACGTAGTTTGGTTACTCCCTGTTTCTATTAATTTTTTTCTTCTACATCTGTTGACGTTAGATCATCAATTTACTTAATTTTAATGATATAATAGTTCTCTTCCTTAACTTGAGAACGTTGTTTCATTGGTTCGAATTTGGTGTTAAAGAAAGGAACGGGACTAAAATATGTCTTGGCCTTCCGTCAACACCACTTCCATCACGGTGGGCGCCCAGACAGCTTGTTCTTCTCCCTGGTAGTCGACATTAAAGTATGCATTTGCGTGCAGGTTACGATTAATGAATACTTAACCAGGGGCTCAGGATTAATGTGTCTCCCTGCTATTATGATTAAATTCATCATTTTCAATTCCATTTGTACCCATTCTCTTTCTCTTTACCAGCCTGCTACGAAACGTAGCAGGCTTAAATTAAATGTGATTAAATTCATCATTTTCAATTCCATTTGTACCCATTCTCTTTTCCAGTTCGTATTCTCTCAGACGTTACAAGTAATGTATCTCAAGGTAGTGTGCTGGGTCCAATTTTGTTTTTAATTTATGTAAACGATTTAGTTGATGGATTGCAGTCATTGGTTAAAATATTTGATAATACAAAGCTTTATAATTACTCAATACGTTCAGACATTTTACAAAATGATCTTCATGCTTTAGAAGAATGGACTGAGTCTGGCAACTGAACTTTAATGCTAGTAAATGCCATGCAATGCATATGGGGGAAATGAAAACACAAATGTGTACATGATGCATGAGAGTGGTAAAGCAGTATCTATTACTGAGGTTGACATTGAAAAAGATCTTGGTATCGTTTTTAATTTTTAAAAAATTGAACTTTAATAATCATATAACAAGCATTATTAATAAAGCCAACTCTATGTTAGGAATTATTAAAAGAACTTTTACTAACATTAGTCCTGAAGTATTTTGCATATTATATAAGACGTTGTAAGGCCACATCTTGAGATAAATAGCCCCGTTTGGAACCCACACCAAAAGCAATATATTAATTTAATTGAGGCTGTTCAAAGAAGGGCTACTAAAGTGGTAGTTGGATGGCATGACTTGCCATATGATATTAGGTTAAGAACTCTAGGATTACCAACGTTAGAGTATAGACGACTTAGATCGGATATCATACAAGTTTTTAAGATCATCAGGGGATGGGTCAAAGTTGATGTAGCTATATTTTTTGAGTTTACGTCTTGTCAGAAAACTAGAGGACATAGTTTTAAGTTATATAAAACCCGTAGTGTCACCATTTTAAGAAAGTACTCTTTTTCATGTAGAGTTATTGATGTCTGGAATAATCTCCCTGATGAGTTGGTAAATGCATCTTTAATAAATATTTTCAAGTCAGGATTAAATGAATTTTGGAAAGAGCAGCCATTAAAGTTTTATATAGGGTAGGAGGTGCTTAAGTCCGAGATGACCAAAACTCGACCGGTGTTGACTATGGATGCATGCATCCTAAATCAGCGACTAAAGCGTAACCCCCTACTGCGGTTGGGGAATAGACTTTTTATTTAGATTTACAACAACAACAACAACAACAAAAAAAAAAAAAAAAATTCACAGCAAATTTGACAGTGAAATCAGTGAAATCCATCAAATTTTGACCTAGCACATGGACTGGACCAGTACCTATCAAAATTGTACGCCACAACAAAATGGTATTGTGACCTGGGGAAGAGTGGGCCATATAAGCATTCATGCTTCAAAACGGCCCAAGAATACAAGTGACATAGAAGTAACAAGTAATATAAGTCTGAACATTCAAAGTGACAATTACGGTACTAAAATGGGAATTTTACTTACTGGCGGCCTAGTCATTCCCACTTTCGACCCTACCGAACTCAACTTTCATTACTTTATTTATGTTTAAGCCGTTGATTTTTTTATTTCACTCTTTTTGACTGTCAAACTTTTAATAAAAAGGGGATTTCAAAGAGAAACCTAAATAGTAAAATGAGGTGATTTCTCATTGCCTTCTTCACCGTCGTAGGCCTAATAGCAGGTGTCGATCAAGTTATCATTTTGACTTCTCTAGCTCGGCGATATGATGGCCGTTTATTCATTATGTGTAGCACGCCCTTTGCGTTCATGCTTCAAGAGTTCTCTTTATGTCAGGACCGTTGGTTTACGTATCTTCTCTGCTGACATTTTCTCATATTAAATACTTTTATGATTATTCAATATCAGATATCATTATTTAATGATATCTGACACAAAATACATGCACACTTGTTACTTGAATTACCGGTTTTGGTTAAGTTCAAACAATGGTAAAGCCTGCTACATTTATTTCTTCAGGGGTATGAACATGGCAAATCTTTTAATTTTTACATGCTCTATTACAACTTAAACCAGGTATGTAAATATATAGCCTATCAAGGTCACCAATAAGGAAATAAACTTATTATTATACGGATGAGTAACCTATATTTATTTATTTTTATTTATTTATTACGCTTCATCACTGCACATAAAAAAACATATACAATAGAAAAACACAACGGACAGCAGCGAAAAGGAAGGGATAAACAGG